TTATAAAAAGCATCAAAATTGTAGTATTTTTACTGCTTTTTTCCCAGTGTTATGTTGTTTCGTATATACCTAAGAAAACTGAGTGCTGGGCAAGAATATGGCCTTGCGCAGAAATCGAACCCACGTTTCATGCTATCCGGGAGCGAGTGCTCTACCACTATACCTACACCACCGAGGTACATTTGCGCCACCACTCATTTTTCAACATCTCAACGTTAGCTACCAACCACCAACATCTAACAGGTTTCGCCGTAATCAAAATGCGCAAAGGGAAATCGCATATCCGATCAAATCTGTTAGAGGTTGAGGGCTGATAGCTAACATAGAGATGTTGAAGAATGAGTGGTGGCGCAGTGCCTCGGTGGTGTAGTGTAGAGCGCTCGTCTCTGGATAGGATGAAACGTGGTGTAATGGCAGAGCATGCGTCCCCGGATAAGATGAAACGCGGGTTCGATTTTAGCCTAAAGCCATGATTTTGCTCACCACTAAGCTCTCTTAGGTATATATATAAAAAGATCAATTTTTTCCCTCAGTAACATATTAACTTTAATCTGTTTCAGTGCATCGTTTCTTATTCACTGACGCACTAGACGAAGACGAAAAGGACTCTGCCTTTACCAAAAACAATCTGCTCGCATTACTGGCACCACTACTAAAAAATCTGCTGCTGTCATATATTATTTAGGGAAATGTAATGTGAATAAAAGCTTGGAAATTTCACTGAGTTCATATGCAATTGAAAATGACAGAAACTAGCATTTTTTTCTTGTCATATTCATGTTCTTCAATCATCAGTCGATAAATGAAACCTCTTATATAAACGAAGATTTTATCTCATCAGAAAACAGTGGGGTAGGGGGCAGAGCGTGACGAAGTAGTTGTTATGTTTATCTCGGCGTTCGTAGGGGCCGATCCACACCCTTCAACACTCCAGCATCAACCACGAATGCCCTATGGAACGCTACAGCCAGGCCTCCGTTGTGATTGCAAGGAGACGCCATCAACCAATTTCACAACCACTACTGTACGACATTCAAGACGAAGACGAAAAAGAATTGAATACTAGAAGCACTGGGATCAGCACAGTGAAAAAACGTATTTTTAAGACAGATAAAGTAAGAGTAAAATAGTAAAAAAGAGGTCAATGAGCTTTGATCATTCACTACGTAAAGTGGTGGCTTTCATCTGTGCAATCAGAGTTTCCTAATCTCAAAATGTCATTTATTTGCAATGTCGGCCATGACACAGACCTCTGTCATCGTATCAAAGGATTTTCATAGGATACCGTTATGGAGATGTGATGTGGCGATTCAGTGATTGGATCGGCAAGGTCAGTGTACCTACCTAAGTGCAGCGATTCCATTGACGAATGCTTAAGTTGTTACGTGTGATCTGCTGGTTGTCGACTTTCGTTGTTACGTTGTGAGCTGTATACTGTACGTAAATCGACCGACTGCTGCCACGTGGGACTTATTGATAGTACTACGACGCGATATCACTACATCTGCATTAGTCTCTCCCACTAACTGCGATACAACTCAAAAGTGGGAAAGCTATGGGATTTTATGTGCACCAATTCTTAAGCACTTGTATTATAATCAAAACTTCTGTAGAACGTAACAATAAGTTTGTTCTATAGGCGTAGAGAGTTTTGAATGTTTCAAAAGTTGAATGCTTTGAAAGTAAGGTTAGAACAAACAATCAAAATCAAAAAGGTGAAATATGTTTCTTGTACCATCTCCAAGGCATCGACCGTAGGAACGCTAGCGGCCATGATTTCACCTGGCAAGGGTCTACAATTCTTCGTCGTCTTATCTCTATGATAGGGAGCAAGAAGCTCGAGAGAACTTCCTGATGATGGAGATGTAGCCGAAACACGCGTAACGACAAAAGCAACGGAACGCATCAACCTAGAAAGGCTTGAAGCATTCTTACAGATTCAACATTAAGTGTAACATTGCTGTTGTGTACAACTTCAAAAAATTTGTTGGGGATAGCTTTTGAGAAAAAAAAATCAATGATAGCGTGATGACCACAATATAAAACGAGAGATGCGTCTCTGTATCATATGGATTCAACATTACCACATATGATTGTCTAATGGAAGATCTAAACAATAGCAATAAATGGAAGTCAAAAGTAGCTATATTTCGACGAAAGACAGAAAAATAAAGTGTTTAGTGTTATAAGTTTTGTTTCGCTGTTTTTTCTTGGACCACGCTCAAATTTCGGTATGCGTGATAATTATTTTTTAGCTATGCATATGGTCCGTTATGGGCACTTATATAATGCAAAACACGTGTTTCAGTCTTACAGCCTCGTCAACTGCTCAGGGTCTTTTGTATGAGCCACTCCCTTTCGGGGGAGAACCTCTTAGCATGGAGGAGTTGGCGACGAAAGTTTTACACGCGCCAATAAGTGATAAAATCACCGAATAGGCAGTGTTCTGTACTCGATTTCTCTTGGCTAGTGTCGTCAAAGATATCATACCTTTCGTTTCGAGTGTTTCTTTAGGCCACGCTTGAATTTCTAATATAAATCCAAGTAGAATGATTATTAGGCATACTGAATTTTGAGCGTGGTCTAAAGAAACACTCAAACAAAAGGCATGATTTATTTGGCGATGCCAGCCAAGAGCAATCGAATGTACAACACTGATGGTTCGCTGATTTTACCACTTATCGGCGCGTGTAAAATGTTTGCCACCGACTCCTTTATGTTAGAGTATTCTCCCCAGAAAGGGATTGGCTCAAACGAAAGACACCTTACAATTGACGAGGCTAGAAGGCTGAAACACGTGTCTTGCACTGTATAATTGCCCATAACAGGCCACATGCACGGCTCAAAAATAACTATCAGACATGTTCAGTGTCAGAAGTGCAGATAGGTCTAATATACCGTTTATTCGCATGAAAGGACAAATTCAATATCCCTCAGTTCTTGGTCTAGCTACTACATGATCAAGGAAAGTATGGGATATCAAGTGATTAACGTGTTGGCTCAGAGCTAGTCGAATGAAAAGAATGTCAGTGACTCCATAATAGACTCGTATCATCTCTAGCGGAACGACTGAACGAACGAGATTTCAGAAAGCAGTAAGTGATATCGAATGTGAATCCTTCAAAAAGTAACTGATTGCGTTTCGCTTGCTACTATTCTGAAAAGTCTTGGTGATCTTTTAGTTCCATTCGTTAATGAATTGTGATAATTTTGAGAGTGTCCAAAAAATAAGTTCAAACGATAAATTGGCTTCAAGTGGACTATCTATCAAATATGACATGGCATTGGAGTTAAAGTCACCTTCCAACAATGTGCTATTTTCCTTACCCTCTGCTTAGACCGCGTTCTTCGATTTATGGTCAGACTCTAAGACGATAGCAATAAACTCAAATGTGCTACGGTTAACGTTCCTGGATAATAGCTGTGTATATTTTACACGAGAAATTCATCATAAAGCTTTGGAAATCAAAACATTCCCAGTGGAATCATCTAAAATGACATAGTTTATGAAAAAACCATAATGCTTCTACAAAACATCAATAGTATTGGTGAAAAATTACTTAGCTTGGTTCATTTTCTAGCTCCTAGAGCAAAATCAATGACTGTTCCGAACTTATCTGCATGCCAGTGTTAGGAAAGATTCAAAGTAGTCGTGAAAGTTTTTACCTAAGTTTGCTAGAATGAATTGCTTCTGCTCGCTTCGCTGTGGTTAACGAATTCATTTCAAAGATAATCGTACATGGTATACAGTTGCTCAATCAATACCAATGTTGTAATCAATTGTCCATATCAATTACGATTGAAAATCACTTTTCACTAGGAAAAACAGTTACCTATCGGAACGACTAGCACAAATAACGACTATACTATTGGGCTATTCCGTAAGTTTTAGCACTAGAGCAATTTACATACAAATTTATTAACCATAAGCGATTAAAAAACATGAATTTGATACCGTTCAATTGCACAATTCTTGTGAATATTTTGGTATACAACTTACCTAACTTTTATCAAGATGGAGCTGTCGTGGGAACAAACTTGCTTCCTACTCATGCACGAATGATGGGTAGGGGAAAATGTTAGAGATGCAGCGCGCAAAATTAGTGGAGTTTCCTGTGGATGGCACGAACACAACTGATTCTTCAAACTGTTTTCTCGGCTTTCAACATCACGAACTACTTCCTAGCCGTTCTTCCTGCAATCGTATCGTCGCCTCAAGCTCCGTTAATCATGCGCGCCGCTTCACTAGCATTTTCTTCTACGTGCCATTCGTGGCACAAGTAGCAAGCAAATTTGTTCCCTCAACGCGCTCCATCTTAAAGCTAACTATAGGCAAGTTGTATACCAAAATGTCCGCAGGAAAATACGCAATTAAAATATACCATAATTATGCAATTTCAATTATATCAGGTTAACAAGTTTGGTGTTTCTTGCTATAACGTCAAAACTCATGGAACAACCTAATAATATAGGACCACAGTAAAGCTCATACATTTGGCGATAACTACTGGAGAAATTTCCAATATCCATACGCGAAAGTGACACTTTCCAGGGAAAAACCAGGAGCGATCAATATCATCACAAGCTGCAGTGGTTTCACTATATTTTGAAAGAGTACTGTAAGGATCACGATATGAATATCACTTATCAAGCATTACATGAATAAAAAAATCCAATATACAATGCGAAAGATTATGATAATAAATAGTAACTAATAAATACACAATTTCATACAACAGAAATGAATATTCTAATGATTAACAGTGTAGTGAAACAAAAGAGAAGTTATACCGATGATTACACATAACAAATTCCATTGCTCAGTTATAACAGAGCATAGAAGAAAGCTTAAGCAAACTAGTTCAGAAAGTACGAAGATGATTTATTACTGTCTCGCAAACACAAGTATAATCAATCAGAACTCATTTTATTTGACCTCCTATTGCGATGGTATGATGTTACAATAAAACCAATAATGTAGAGCAGCGTGCAAAAGCATTTGCGGCAGCTGGGACTCGAACCCTGATTTCACTCTTTCCGAGAGCGCGTGCTGAAGCGTTGCACTACCGACGCTCGTTTTTGGTACCGACCCAAATGCTTTTGAACACCACTCTACGCACAAGTATAGTCTATCACATTTTCTGATCATTATTCTGTTAACTGAACGGCCTAGTTAGTATTTCATTACCAGCGTGACGCGGAGGGAGGAGAGGTGTATTAATATCAACTTGTTGACGACGTGTTATTTCTATTCGGGATAGTACGTGCGGTCACGTATGGTAGCAGTGATTTTATGTAGACAGCAACGAAAGCGATCGACAAAATACTGATGTGACCGATGTTCTCGAACCACGAAGAAGTCCTTCCGATAAGCGACATTTTTTCTCTGAAAATGTGAGACTTATACAATTGCAGATGAATAGAGTCCGTTATTTGTTGACTGATGATGTCAAATTGAAGACTTTTGGGATCAGTACTACATGAATCCAATAAACATCTTCACGACCATTCGCATGGCTTACCTAGTTGACCACACGTCATTGGAGGCGATCTGGATGCGCATTGAAGTCAATATACAGCCCTAGAGCCTTTGCAAGATAAACGACGCGCTAGTTCACTAAGGTTCATCTATTAGATCTGTTCTCTCGTCGATCATTGAGTGACTCAAGAAGGATCCAGCAAGACGTAAATCATTTGCTGTCGCGTACAAGATTAGGCCTGTGGGCTGAGGCTTAGTGAAAAACGAACGAATTTTATGAAAACTCTGGAGCATTTTGAATGCGCTCAGCCCTTAGATTTCCACATATGCACCGTAATTCACGATGATTTTGCAGTTTACTAACAAAAAAAAGGAACGAATGCTTACAAGCGATAGTTGAAACATACTTTTTATTTTGCAATGACGAAGGATGTAGAGGTGGACCAGGTTGCATAGAATACATGAAATGTAGAACAGTATCCTGCAACAGCGACAAGGTAAAATAGGACGATAAGGTTGTCGAAAACCGATATACACGCAGTTTTTACGAAGATTATTTGTTACTTAGCACAATATTTTCCCTTTCTCTAGAAAACTTATCTTGAATAGCCAACGAGAGCTTGATAATTGCAATACCAGTAGCGCTATTCTATTTATAGTGGACCAGATTGCTATTAGTAGCGGTTATAGCAAAAACAGTGCGATAATTGACATTCCGGGGACTCTGTCTTCTTCAGAGACTATGAAGTGGTGGATTATCGATGCTTTTACAATTGCCTAGGTCAGATCACGAGATGAAACGGAAAAAAGGCGCTATGTTTCGAGTGATAGTGACACATTCGTCCTTCGGTTCATTTTTGGATTTCTAGCGCTTATCCGAAACTCTTGAGGAGTTTTGCACGTTGTTGTTCCTTACTCTGCGTCAAGATTCTGACATTCACTTCAAAATTATCACCGTGGTGCTTTTGTACCATATTAGTACCCGGAGCACTTTCTCAAAATCTGAATGTACCATCTGCATGCTCTTTATGCGGGCACAAAAACATAACGTTAATGATTTTAGAGCGATTGCCACGATCCTGGAGCAGAATCAAAAATATCGGCGTGCAAAACTCTTAAAGCGTTGCAAATAAACGGCAGAGATCCGAAAGGACGCATGCGTCACTATCACTCGAGGCGTAACGCCTTCTCTTCGTTTGATTTTTTGACCTGACCTATGCGGTAGAGAAAGTATCTGTCGATAATCCACCGAATTATTCAAATCATTTAATACAACATACGTTGAGGCCTTGAAGAAGGCGAAGGCATTGCCAATTTCACGGCCAAACAAGATCAGTCTTCAAGATTTACGTATCAATTTTTTTTCCAAATTTTTTAGAAAGCCGGTCTTTTGAACCATTCTTTCTCATTACACAACTCTGCAGATGCCCCGTCACACTTTGTATGCACGAGTTTCATATTGAGCATTTCTCTCTATTATGATTGATGACAAGTAGAGCGCAGTTGTTATAGGGCCTTGCATCATACACAAAACCTTTGCTCTGATTCCGCCATCCAAGAAAATCAAGCCCTCCAACATCCATTGTGAACAAGTGGTACCTTGCTAATCTGGCAGGATGAAAATACTGACTTGGCGCATTTACAAGTTTCTGCAAAGTATTGAAAATCAACTATGCATCTAATCACCTCTCCGATGCCTTATAAAGTCCGATGCATTGTGCATCCCTCACGGGTTGATCGACATTGAACACGATAGGTTCCAACTCTGATCCCATCCACAATAACGCATGATGCTAGTACTCAGTTTATGAAAGCTCGCCTACGCCAAAAGTCCTCGCTACAACGCAGATTTGATACTATTCACAAGCGTACTGTTGTGAAATATGCATCTTATGATTCCCTGAGAAGCACATTACTATCGTGTCGTGGTAAATCCGATCATTTCAGGGACAACATAACATCGCTGTCTGGAGGTCCCATTGATAAAACAGAGTCATTCTCTTTCTGCTTTTACCCCTCAATACTCCATAAGTTCTTGAGCTCGTTACTCGCATATTCTGTCACATTGTTCCTTTTAATCCATACTTTGCCTTACAAACAATGTATCAAAAAAGTTTTACTCTAGCCGGCAAGAATATAGAATTCGAATTTTTGTATACTTCACAAAGAACTATTTGAACTGCAATCGTCGCCTTTTGCATATTTGGAAGGAGGATTAGTGTTCCAAATCAAGGACTCTTAGAGGACCTTAGAGAGTTCCTCCTGCATGAATCGACTGAGCAGTTGTCAAAAATATATTGTTCAACGTTTCCTTCTCATTGCTGTAGAGACCGTTGATGTTAAATCTCATTGAGACGTCTTTACTCGTATCAAAAAAGGTTTAAGAGTATGCTTGGTTTAAGAACGCACCTGTATCCACGTTGGAAGTAAACTGAGTGGTATGAAACAAAATATGGCATCCCATCCTGCTGCATACCTTAAAAAACAGATAACAAAGTGACATGAATTGTTCTATCGTGTTTCTTTATAAAATTTGTTTCTTTTTTTTTTGTTATAACTACACCATTTCCTACCTTTTCTAATAGCTCTTGTAAGATTGTCTTTTTTGCCTCTTCTTGCTTTCAACATACGATGTTGTACAATTTCAAAACAGTTATCTTTATTATCACTGGAAAATCCATTTCAAGTAGAACTTTTTGATAGAGCCTACGAAATAATCTAAGAAACGGATGGCTCCGATTTGCGAACATGACCCCATTTCTAATTGTAATGGAGATAACTGAATAATGAAAAGTAAGCAGATATGTATATAAAAGACATGTGAGCATAAATAAGCATAGTTACATATGCTTATACCTAATTCACATATCTTTTTACTACATGTTCATTTTCGTGGTTACTAAGAGTCACTGAGCGGTTATCAGCTCCTATCTAGGCTTCTGAGCAAAAACGTCAAACTTAAAAGGTCGACTGACTTCTTTCAAGTGATGAAATTTTATGGACATGTAGGCAGCTCAATTAAGGAAAATTGCCCATGTTAAGGCAGTACATTATGCAAGTTTTCGATATTAATTTCTGCAACCGATAAGTACACATCGTGCGGCTATAGCACTTTCAAGTAAAAAAAAACCCAGTTCTGATTGATGGCAAAGAAGTGAATTGCTCACGATATAACCCTACCTAATCTCAGCTCACCTCAAGTCGTGGCCAACAACCAAATAGTGCGTGAACATAACTGTCGACAAACCCATTGAAGATTCGGATTCGCAACGAGATTTACACCGGTTTGCCAAGCCACTTTAACTGAAACACTCAAATTGTACGGCATAAAATGTACTTTTGGCTTTCCTTAGCGCTAAAGTCCTAATATAGGCTATGAGTAACAAGAAAAACGATTTTTCGCTGAGATTGTGACATGACATTCACCCAAACGTCGATGTTTTCTTCAACACATAAGTAGCTGCGTAAGTTGATACGAGGGTAAACTTTAGAGAGGAGTAGGTATGTGCATTGATTTTCTTACGTAGTTGTGTGGTTGAGCCGCCGCGTTTGTGTTTGATCCTTGGGATATCAAACACGGATTTTATAGCAGAAACGTTTTGTAAAAATCTACTCTCTTTGCTTGATGCTATGAAAGCTCGAAGCCTTTTTTTAGTGCATATCATGCTTAGAATTAAGACTAAGATAGGACGCAGTTACAAACGATTCACATAGAATTAAGCGTAACCGTGTTTTGTCTCAAAATTTTTATGTTATGAAGAATAATTATAAATTTCACTGCTTGAAATTCGTCATTCTCCTTAAGTGGATCACCATCAACCATTCAATCATTCATTCATTAGTGAAATTTTTCCAAGACAACGATGACTGGGGCACTTATTCAGGTCGTCGCTTTATAGAATTCACTAAAAAGTCCCAAGACCACTAAAGTAGCGAGATCGTTCTGCGAGTGGAATCGTACAATAGGCTCCCATTTTATTGGGCAAATGCGCTGTCCTTGTCTACTTCTGGCTTCGTTTTGTACTATTTAGAGATATGAACTCACAGTTTTCCTTGAATTGTTCGCCATATTCGTTTTTTGTGACCGATGGAAGTTTCTCCCATGCCTGCAAAAATTGAAAAAAATGCCATCTGTTCTGATCAATTTAGAAATGAGAAAAATATTCTTGCCTTATTGACTCGATCATAATGAGCTTTCTCATTCAAAAGGTCAGTTTTGAAAGCTCCAGGTTCAAGTATATGCACGGATACACCAAACGGCCTCATCTCTAGTCGAAGACAGTCCATGTAAGCCTCAACAGCGAATTTTGCAGTCACATACGGACCAACATAGAGACCATGTAGACGACCAGTCGTCGAACCCATCGTTACTACTCTACCCTAAAAAATAAAAAAGTAGTTCTTAGTGCGCAAATATCTTTGAAAAATGAGGCTGCTCAAAGTTTCTCGAAAAAAAATTATCGACACAGAGAAAATTTCTCGGACAACTTCCACGAATGTTTTTCACATCGTCGTAGCTGCTAGGATCCAATTTTTTAGCAGAATTCTCGCTCCAGAAACTTCATAAGTAAAACCAATGTGGCTGATAGTTTCA